GCAGCTTCTACAATGTTAGTTTGAATTTCAGGACACCAGCTTGTGAGGACACAGCAACTTGGGGTTGTATCTATGCAAAGTAGATCAATCCACTGTGTCTACTCAAACCACTTTGAAGTCAGTTCTTCTGTTTCAAAATGTATCGCCTTTGATCAATATTTCCCAGTTACCAACTTGAAGATCAACATGGAAGGTGCTTATGCAGATATACCGTTGAGCTCAGATGAGGAGTAAGATGAATAGTTGCAACGGTACCCACAGCAGTAGCAGCAATAGTGTCTCTTCAACCACTGATGCAATGAGGAGAGGGGATGAGAAAAAACTCCAGTGTAAGACAGGGACTTGTACAGTGCCTCAGGTGGCTCAAACCTCCCTGTTAGATATCACTGATATTTCCAGCCTCTTAGAAGAAGATCACTTGCTAAATATGCCAAGGTATTGTGGGCATGCATGGCTATGTAATCACCATTGTACGTTCTTCACCTCCTTTCAGACTCCTCCCAGGGATCTGCAGGTGATATCTGCAAAATCTCAAATCCAGCTGCCACAAGTGCATCTTATTGGAGATTGTCGACATATTTGCCGGGATCAGTATTTACCTACATTCTCAGATGCTAAGGTCAGTCTGAATAAATGGGCCCTCTGCTTTGCCACTCTGACAGGTATGCACAGATCCCAAGAGTCATTGCTTTTACACACTGGCAATCTGGATTACCCTAGAGTTTTAATGAAATGAAAGGAATTCTACTCTGTAAATGTTCACCTTGTCTGCAACCAGCAAATTTTCACAATTCATGTCAGTGAGAGATTCCTGGGGAGCTGCCATGATGCCTTTGTTCAGCATCAGTTCAGCTTTGCTGAGATACTCACAGCTGAAAGCAGAGTTAACAGATGGTTCCTTGGAGATAAGAGGTTACTTTTTGAAGAGGTGATTGATGACATGTACGTGATGCCCAGGAAAGGTAGAACAGAAACCACATGAGCACCAGAATTGTAACAGAGCAAAAACTCAGGATGTGATTTACAGTGAGACTTTCAATGTGCATCAACAATAAGTACACCAAGAATAACATTAGTGTACTGTGCCTTACTCAATGTTGTACAGCAGCAGGGACTGAAGTTCCAGAAGAAGGGAGATACTGAGCTGTCTGCCTCTACAGAGGAAGGGGAGAAGGATCCTGATGTGGTATTCACACACATGACTGCCAGAGGTGTCTGCAATGGCCTGTTTCATGTTTTCCACATTTAAAATGAGGAAGCTACCTAGAAACTAGGGAGAGGTGGTGCCATAATGGCAATGTCACTAGACTAGCAATCCAGTAACTCTCGCTAATATGATGGGGATGTGGGTTCGCATCCCACAATGGGAGTTGGTGAAATTTGAATTCAATGAAAATCTGGAATAAAAATAAATATTCTGATGGTGACCATGTAACCACTAAATTCATAAATTTCTGATTCACGAATGTCCTTTAGGGAAGAAAATCTTACCTGGTCTGGCCTACATATGACTCCAGACCCCCAGCAATGTGGTCGACTCAATTAGGGGTGGGTAATAAATGCTGATGCAGCTAACGATGCCCACATTCCGTGAACGAATAAAAAATTGAGAAAACCCGTCGTCCCTTTCACAATGCTTGTCTTCAACTCTTGCCACTCAGGAAACAAATTAGCAGATGGCAGGCAGGAGGTGGCCATTCAGCCCTTCAAGCCTGCTCCACCATTCATCACGACCATGGCTGATCATCCAACTCAGTAGTCTAATCCTGCCTTCTCTCCATAACCTGTGATCCCATTCACCCCAAGTGTAATATCAAGCCGCCTCTTGGCTATTGTCAATGTTTTGGCATCAACTACTTCCTGTGGTCATGCATTCTATAGGTTCACCACTCTTTGGATGAAGAAATGTCTCCTCATCTCCGTCCTAAATGGTCGACCCCGAATCCTCAAACTGTGACCCCTGGTTCTGGCCACACCCACCATCAGAAACATCCTCCCTGCATCTATCCTGTATAGTCCTGTTAGAGTTTTATAAGTCATTATGAGATCCCCCCTTATTTGTCTGAACTCCAGCGATAACAATCCCAACCTAGTCAATCTCTCCTCATATGTCCGTCCCGCCATCCTCAGAATCAGGCTGGTAAACCTTTGCTGCACTCCCTCAACAGCAAGATGTGGTCTGCTAGCATCAAGTCAATGTTATATATATATAGATATATATAATGCAGCTGTGTGGTATTTACTTCCGTCAGCAGGAAATCCCCATTTTCATCAGCAGTGATAGTAAATCTGAGACCCAGCTTACTTCCAAGGCCTCCTCTTCTACAATTATCAAAGCAAAGATTACTAGAGGACCACATCCAATTTTCCACCTCTCCCTGGTGCTCTATTTTTTCGTAAGGAGAGTAAGAACAGAAATATGACTAAGAAAGATAGGATATTGTGAGAATTTAGAAGGATAACATTTGTAGATAGTCATTCAGAGATTGGTCTGACATTGTCTTAAGATGAGAATGATTCCAATTTCTGGTAGGGATGTGAAGGAGCCTTGACATAGAGGTTTGGGTGCATCTGCAGATTCAACTGGTGTATGGACTAATGTGCAGGGGAATGCTTAAGAAAGTAGAATTGGCATAAAATGCATAACAGGATATAGTTGAATATGACATACCACTTAACATTCTTTGTCCTGGGAGTTTCATTCAACATCTTGTGGTACTGCTCTGCTACATCTCATAACCATGTTTGTTCATTCCAATTGGTTATGAACCCAAGAAGCAATATGCAAATACATGGCTATTTTAACAAACTGCTCACAAGCATGGGATCCCTATAGTGTGGGCCATTTGATCCATTGAGTCCACACTGACCCTCCAGAGAGCATTCCCCATGGCTAATCCACTAACCTACACATCCCTGACCCTTCCAGGCAACTTAGCATGGCCTAGCCACCTAACCTGCACAACTTTGGACTGTGGGAGGAAACTCACACTGATGTGGGGAGAATGTGAAAACTCCACACAGTCATCGAGGCTGGAATCAAACCCGGGTCCCCAACACTGTGAGGCAGCAGTGCTAACCACAGAGCCACTGTGCCATCCTTGTTGAAAATGCATTGTTGAAATGCCTACATTATTGACACTGCTGGATTCCTTCACAACAAATGGGTTGGAAAGTTAAAATCAAGCCCAAGCTTTCTGAAGCATTTCAACTTGCCAAAAAAAAGTATTGAATTTGAAATCCACTTACAGTAGTAAAAAAACTGAAGTCTTGAATATTCTCACACACAACTAAAGGTTGTTAGAGATAGAAATGTCTGAAATTCATGCTGGTACTAACAGTATGTTTTCCTTTATAAAGCTGGTCAAATACTAGCACTAGGTGACAAATTGAGAAGAGAACAGAACAGCAATGTTGGAAACCCTTTCAAAGGCAATAATACTCAATTTTATGCTTGGCAAGGAGAAAACTAATAACTACAGGAAAATCTTTGAGGCTTAAGTCTTGTTTGAAGCACAGGTTAGAAAATCAGATGGTAATGTCAATCCACCAAACTGTGACATTTCCGATTTTCTGCTAATTCATTTTAATCATCAGAGAATCAGGTGTTCTGTGAGCACAGACCTTTGTGTCTGGTACTATACTGTACTCTTGTCAAGTGAAACTCTGTGCTGGAAGCAGAGACTTGCAAAATCTAACCTCAGATTTTCATTGAAAACAAGAATTGACTAAAGAAATAATAACATTGAAATAACTCTTCAGAGGCCAGCATCCCATCACCAGTCACACTTTATTTACAAATGCATCGTCATTGACAATAGCACTGCCTCTCAGTGGGTCAGGCATTGAGTGGCTCCCTGACTGGACCAGACTAACAGCCTCAACCAGCAAACTCATATTCTATGGGGTCCAACTTGTTGACCTGGTACAATCACTACAAACAGCTGAATCAAAATTGTTTAGTTAATTGAAGAAAAACACTAATGGACCATTAAAGATTGAAAACTTATCCAGGGTAGATACATTTTCCACGTAGCAAAATAATTTCTCATCATTCTCTACATACTGCAAATTCTGGTATCTTTCTCCATTCGAACTTCAATTGAAAGACAATACTACCCCTGGAAAAAGCTAAAACAAAATCAAAAAAATGCAGGAAACACTCAGCTAGCCTGGCGGTGGTTTTATAGAGAAATGTCAAGGTCATTGACCTGAAACATCAATCATGTTTATTTCTCCACAAATGGTACTGTGCCAGCAGACTGATTCTTGCAGTTTGTTTTTCTGTACCACATTTCTAGCAGCTGAAGATTTTTTTCTTGCTGTTAGTATTACGGCACAATTCTAAACTGAAGGTTTTATATGTGTTTTAATAATTGTCCATTTATTTATACTCGATCGCACAAATTTGTATTGACTGCCACATTATAAAGGCTGATTGCTTGTGCAGCTGCTTCCAGGGAGCACTGGTGATAGCTTTGCTGGTCTTGGGATGTGACCGATTTCATCAAGGCAGCAATTACAATCAATTCCAAACTGTTTTGACACTGTTAAGAGTAAACCACAGAGCATGAGACTCATGTCATGTTGATGTTAAGATCATCTGAGAGTGGCAGCACCGTCCCTGATGTATAATAAAGTATCAGTTTAATTTTTGTACCAATCTGGCAACTTTCATGGTCAATGGTTGGTGTCAGACCACAAATTAACTGCTTTATTGAGCTCATAATTTGTAGTGGTTGGACATGAATTCAGTTTTGCTGATGGACCTGTGATTTTGTGAGTAGTTCTCCCTGACAGCACTGTTTTTGGAGACCTCAATTTGTGATCTAGATATTTGCGTTGATCAGCAGCTGAATCAATATAAGCTAGATGCTGGATGCATGTCTTCAAGGTGGCAATATTTCTATTTTAATCTATATAACGGCACATACATGCCACACCAGTTGTAATGCAGTCACCATAAAAAAAGCATAGTTCACACTTTAACAGTCACCTACCTGCCATCCCTGTAATTTACATTGTTGGAGGATGAGGCAACACTTCTCTTCTGCAGAAAGTTTTTTTCTGTCGCCCAGTATTATGTCAACCAGAACTCTGTACCTGCGTGGAAAGTAGAATACAAAATCAGAAATTTTCATGATTCGTTCTTCCTTTATTTTGGATGACATTGCCATGAAGTGCTGCTCTAAATCCCTTTCCACTTGACTGCCTTGAGAATCATACAAGATACTTGTTCGCAGGTTAGTTTATTAACATTTTGTGAGGAGACAGAAAGAAATCCAAACTATTGGAAGTCATAATTGGATCACAGATATACTAGCGTTTGGCTCTTGGCAACCCTGTATTGTGATTTTCTGGCTAAAAATGCATGACTTACACATTGGGTTTGATTTATTTTGTTTGTTGTGATTTGAGTTATTGTTGTCACATGTACCCAAGTACAGTGAAAAGTTCTGTTTTGTGAGCAGTACAGGCAGATCATAACAAACAAGGACATCCAGATCATAGGGTGCTTAGACAGAGCAAGGCATCCAAGATTATGACTGCACAGGAGGTGCACAAAAGCAAGGTAGACATTAGATTAAAATTAGAGGGGTCCATTTAGCAGTCTAATAACAGCAGGGAAGCTGTTCTTGAACATGTTGGTACGTGTGTTCAAGCTTCTATATTTTCGGCTTGATGGAAGATGTTGGAAGATACTTACATCCAGGTTTGTAGTCTTCAAATATTCCAAACATCTAGTATCTTCAGGAAACTAAAGTAGCATACATGAAGAAAATAAGTAGCACTTCTGAAGTCACTTTGCAGGTGACATTCTATGATATTTGAGAATGGATACTCAAATTGTTTAGTGGATACGTTGTGTCAAGTATTCACTTAAGAATCTATCTCAAATGACACAGATACTTCTGAAGCTGTGAAGTTAGCTGAGTATGTATAGACAGCCAACAAAATTCCTCACCTTCCAATGTAGAATTCATTTCAGCTTTTGCATGGTTTTAGAGAAGGTGATTATAACTGATTCCTGGAAATTCCAGCATAACATATCCATTGTGAACAGAATAAGGAGGATAAAGGAATTAAGGTGATAAAAGTTTTGACAAATAGAAAATTGTGGGAGAATAGAATTATAGCTCATCAAAAACCTTATCTTTGCATGTTTACTCTTACCTGTAAGTATTACTCATGTAAGAAATGTGATCACTGTACACAAATCCTTCAGTATTCTTATTCGTTTAATGTATTTTTTTGTTTGGAGAATGTCCACAAAGAAGCTAATGAGCTTGTTTTTTTCCCATTTAGTGAATTTGCAAAGAAGAGAAGTGAGTACCAATTGGAGAAAGGCTACTTTGTATTTCAAGTCTATTCTTCCACTTTTTTTTCTCCTTTATTCGTTTATGGGATGAGGGTGTCGCTGGCTAGGCAGCATTTACTGCCCAGAGGGCAATTAAGAGTCAACATTCCTGTGGGTCTGGAGTCACATGTAGACCAGACCAGGTAAGGATGGCAGTTTCCTTCCCTAAAGGACATTAGTGAACCAGATGGGTTTTTCCGACAATCAACAATGGATTCATGGTCATCATTAGACTCTTAATTCCAGATATTTATTGAATTCAAATTCCACCACCTGCGGTGGCGGGATTCAAACTCGGGTCCCCAGAAAGTTTTCTGGGTCTCTGGATTAACAGTCCAGTGATAATACCACTAGGCCATTGCATCCCCTAAAGCTATAAGTAAATAACCATTTTCACTTACAATTGTACCCATTGTTTATAATTGAGAAAATGTTTGGTTTTATGTTATTCATATAACCATTTGGCAGCCAAATTTTGCTTGAGAGATGGAATAGGGCTTCAAGCAGCATCTCTTGCTCTGGTACCCACAACCACCAGCTCAGGAGTTGGCACTGCATGTATCTTAGAGACTAGTGGAGAGTTGGGATCTCACCTTGAGTTATTGGATATCACTGACCTACAATCAGATCAATGAAAAGATGGGACATTTGCCAACTTGCTAGGGGGCAGGGTTTCAAATGATTTTTTCTTCAGAAGATCTTGATGAATGGCACACAGGAGAGTGCTGATGGGCATGTATAATGAAATGCTGGGTGTATTTGTTTGGCCTGCCTAATAACAGTCAAAGAGTTTGAAGGATTTCAACTCCAAGTTGACAGAGGATATCACTCAGAGCTTGCCCTGTTGGCAATCTGGATTCTTCTGCTGTACAGGAGACACAGAGGTGTTTCAACTGCAACATACATACCAGCTGAAGCCTTGGAGTGGATATGTAGATATCTGGCAGTTTGCATTTGTAGCTTGGTGAGAGAGCTCACACAAAAGAAAAAAATCTGCCCAATTTTGCCTGCACCAATCTATCTACAAAGCATATGTCTGTCCATGACAGTAGAGTGGGAGCCCCATTTTCACACTGCTCTATCATGTTATGTAGTTCTGTCACCATGTCAAATGGGATTGATTCAGAACTGGTAATCCGTGGACGGGCTATCAGCAGCATCATGCACATATTGCACCACAATCTGTTATCATTATGGACTGGCTTATCCCTCAGCTACCATTACCATCAAGCCAAGGGAGAAACCCATTACCCAGACTGTAATCAGGAGTAAGGAGTGAAGGAGACATAGTGAGAGGGGAAAAGTTTAAGGGAGATTTGCGTGGAAAGTTCTTTACGCAGAGGGTGATGAGTGCCTGGAACGCATTGCCAGCAGAGGTGGTAGAGGCGGGCACGATAGCGTCATTTAAGATGTATCTAGACAGATACATGAATGGGCAGGGAGCAGAGATTTTCCAGATCCTTAGAAAATAGGCGACAGGTTTGGATAGAGGATCTGGATTGGCGCAGGCTTGGAGGGCCGAAGATCCTGTTCCTGTGCTGTAATTTTCTTTGTTCTTTGTCCTATATCAAAAGAAGCATCAGGCATACCCAAAAATGAGGTATGAATCTGGTAATGCTACAACACAAAATTACAAATTTGCTATGCAGCAGTAGAAACATGCCGTGGGTAGAGTTGAGCAAATTCAGCCAGAGCCTTAAAGCTATCAGTACTGCTGTATTGTCAGGCTCTTTTTTACAGACACACAGACAGGCTGCTTGTCATTAGGGATCTGTCTAGATGTGTGGTTGAGATATCTTCTTAAATGATACATCAAAACATCAGCTAACACCTACAGCGTGTCCAGCTGCCCACCGAGCAAACACATTGCACGTTTATTCAACCATATGGCTGTGTCTATAAGTGGATGGGGGATAGCCCTCAGTTCATCCATAAGGGGAGGGATTCCAACGTTGTTCAGGTGCCATGGCACCATCACTTATGGGCACAGTCCCCACTCAGTCCAAGGGCTTGGCCATGTTCAGTTGTCTGTTTAAGTCAATCCTGGTTAGGGGATCTGTCTGTCTGCCGTCCAAGGGTAGGAAATAGCCAATACTGTAAGGCTGTCACAAACAATCAGGAAAATTGCCATTGTCAGTGAGGAGTTGTGAACACAGGGGTCTGGGTCAATCATATCTGGGAGCTGCTCCCAGAAACTGGTCAGAGGTCCATGGTGAATACAGTTCTGGATTCTATGTATTGATCATTGAGGATGGTGCAAAGGGGTGTTGTAGGGGTCTTGCCCATGGAGACTAAAATACATTATGGTACTCTTACAAAGATCACAAATTCAATCTTGAACAAGATCAAGCATCAGACTTTATCATCTACCAGCTTTTAATATAATACCAGGTGATTTCTTAATGGACTAAGTTACGTGTTCTATTTTAGGCAGAGTAGGGAACATTATATTTCTCATATAAGCACTAAACAGGAGAAGACAGATCTGTTGACAAAGACTTTATTATCTGGTAGAATTTAACCAATAAATTTGTTATGAGTATACTCACATCAGAAATTAATTGAAAACATTTTCCCAAACAATTCAGAGAATGCCTAGAAAACGGAGGTTAAACATTGGTTATGCCAGCATTTTGAGTACAGAGATTACTGTCTGTCCATGGTTGTTACTGTTGCAGCAGTAATACACAGTTTTGCTGCTGCCTCCTCATTCACATGATTACTACATTTGTCTGAGTGGGGTCAGTGCTGTTGCCTACCTCAGTGCAACAAGGGCGTGGGAGTAGGCACTGAAAAGTTATGGTGCAGACCATTTGTTTGTCTAAGAGGCTGAACTCTGTGGAACTGCTGGTACTGATATTGGGAGCATGTGGAGACTGCATAAATGATACACTGAGGATGAGCAAGGGTTCTGAAGTTCACAGAAGTGATGCTAGAAGCCAGAGTATGGTAGAAGTGAAGAGGGAGAAGGAAGTCATCATTCAACAGGAGACAGGGAAAGCTTCAGGAATCACATCCAGAAGGAATGGAAGCAGGTGCCAAGTAAGGTCAATGCAAGGCATCTAGCTCTGAGGTCCTGGTGCAGTGCTACAAGAAGTTTAATATTTTCATTCGGATGGTCGAGGTCAGTGAATGGATTGCCATATGATATCTTGTACATACCATTCCACCAAATTCCTACTTCAATGCACCAAACTCCCGTCATTACCAATCAAGTCTCTATCTGGAGACTGCACCTCACCCTCACAGACATTTCAATGATGTCAGTCTCATACCGAGCTCCTGCTCCTTGTATCTATCTCCAGCTATTTAGCAATAGTGGGGACATTATCCAAACACAGTTCAACACAGTGACTGACAGTCTTACCTTTCTCTTGCAGGATAGAAGGCAAATCAAAAGCTTTTGAATATAGAGATAGTAGGAACTGCAGATGCTGGAGAATCCGAGACAACAAGGTGCAGGGCTGGATGAACACAGCAGGCCAAGCAGCATTATAGGAGCAGAGAGGCTGACATTTCGGGCCTAGACCCTTCTTCAGATTAGGGTCTAGGCCTGAAACGTCAGCCTTCCTGGTCCTCTGATGCTGCTTGGCCTGCTGTGTTCATCCAACTCTATACCTTGTTATCTCAGATTCTCCGGCATCTGCAGTTCTTACTAGTTCTTTCTGTAGGTGCTTTTTAAAAGTAATTTTCATATTTTAAATTGGATTAGTCATAGGCCAAGTAATAAATACAAAAAAAGTTC